GGATGGTACGTGAGAGCAAGTCTCCCCATTCGACACCCACATTTTGTGTTCGGAAGCCTAACGGCAAGTGGCGTATCGTTCATACTTACAATAAGCTTAACGCTGCCACCATTTCGACACAAACGCCAGTTCCTAAAAAGGATGTTCTTTAGAACAACATGGTGGGATGTACGAAGTACGGTGCACTCGATCTGGTCGATGGGTATTACCAATTGCTCATGAAAGTGAGTGATATTCCGCTAACAGCGATGCGCACTCCGAGCGGCATGCTCTGGGAGTGGCTGGTGATGCCTCAAGGACTGCCAGATGCACCAGCAATATTTAATCGTCTTGTGACGCAGTTGTTTAGGCCCCACAGTGCGTATGTACAGACATACTTTGACGACATTTTCGTTCATAGTAGTGTGGGGCACGGGAGGACAAATGAGGAGAATCACATCGTCCATTTTAAAGCGGTGCTTGAGTGCATGCACACGAACCAAATGTACATCAATGCAGACAAGTGCATCTTTGGCGCAGAAGAGATTCCCTTTTTAGGGTGCTTCATTGGGAAGCGTGGCCTTCAAGCGGATCCCGGTAAGGTCAAGGCCATTGTAGACTGGCCGGTTCCAACGAACCCGAAGGACTTGCGTAAGTGGCTTGGTCTTGCCAATCACTCGCACAAGTATAGCGTAAATTTCGCAGAAATGGCCCGGCCATTATCCAATCTCCTTCAAAAGGATGCGGAATGTTGTTGGAACACCGAACATCAGGAGGCTTTTGACAAAGTCAAAGACTGCGTCCTGCATGCACCGATACTGGCGCTGCCGGACCCCGATCGTCCTTTCAGCGTCGTCTGTGACCCTTCGGACTTCGACATCGGCTGTGCACTGCTGCAAGCTAACACCGAGGGGCGAGATCGGGTAATTTCGTTTAAATCTCGACATCTCAAAGCTGCAGAAAAGAACTACCCAGTTCATGACAAGGAGCTACTGCGATGAAGTTAGCACTTGTCAAGTTCAGGGCCACCTGCTTGGCTCCATGCCGTTTGTAATCTAAACAGATCATTCGCCACTACGCACTGCGACTCAGTCGCCCCCCCTCGCAGAAGATGACTAGATGGCTATCCT